TTTTTTTCGAAAAGTGTGGTGGTCGAATAATCAGGGATGGGCATTGAGTCGGGATGTTAAGGTAAAAATTGCATCTACATGCTGGGATTCATGGGCCTCGTCCCCCTAGCGAGGGGGACAAGGCCTTCAAAATATTGGGTTCGCAAAAGGGGTGCGTCAGTATTGACGTCTCATTTTACATCATGCGTCTCAATTTAAAACGCACTATAAATGACATGCCTGAGATTCGTTTGGGTGTACTTCCTCTCAGCAAGTATATGGTTCTGTCTCAAAAAGGTCTAATCTGATGTTGACCGCTCCTCAGGTCTCCACCGACGATTCATCAGGACGAGACCCAACCGGGACACTAGGGAGGAACGGCTTAAGCAAGGGAGGCTACATATACGACAGCTTCTTGCGGACAAGAAACGAAAATAGATAGATGGTGGGTGTTTCATTTGCTATGCCTTTGGCGTGCACATTATGTTTGTTATGTTTCAAGATTCCTGCAGAGTTCGGTTTTAACTATTGTAAAATACCGAGCATGCGCCCAGGTCGCAGAAGCGCCTACCCTCTGATTCGGAACGATCCGCAAATAAGCAAAGGGCATACCAGACACCCATCCACCTGTTTTGAGCCGTGCTCAAAATATTGAAAGAGCACATCAAGCGCCAGGTGCTGTGGCGTCTTTGCCACAATAGCGCCAGTCGCAGAGCTGACAGATCCGTGACTGGCGCAAGCCATGGCATGGCCTTTGGGAACCAGGGAATCGAGATTAAAGAAGTAGCGCAGAAATTGGAGGCGAGTGGTGAAGGTGAGCAGAGTGAACAGAAAACAAGGACGAAGGGAGTTCCGTCGCATGAGGCATCTTTGTCCCGTGCATGTAATTTTGAGTGTGCTGCAGGTGGCTACCCAAAAAAATTGTTACTTGGACGTAACTAATCGCAAATCTCTCTTGCAGTTTTCATGGCCCACAAGCCAGCCGGCGCCAGTTCGTTCTCGTTCAAAGGTGAGGATTTTAGATTTTCTAGATTGCTCTGAAGCAGCAATACTGAAGCCAGACAAGCGGTACGGCATATTTAATTGACAGAACGACTGGGGACGCTTTCACTGAAGCTTGTTTTGCTGCAATACACGTATGTATTGCAGCAAAACAAGCTTCAGTGAAAGCGTCCCTACTCGTTCTGAGCTCCGTCAATTAAAGGTGCCGTACCGCTTGTCTGTCTGGCTTCAGTGTTGCTGTAGGCGACAAAACGTGTGCCCAGTTTTGTCACAAGAGGCATATTATGTCGCGCACATGTAATTTTGAATTTATCCGGCTTAGTGTGCTGTAGGTGGCTGGTCAAAGAAATTGATACTTGGACGCAGCTAATCGCAAATCTTTCTGGCAGTTTCCACAGCCTAAGAGCCAGCAGGTCCCAGTTTGCTTTTCTTTAAAGGTGAGAATTCCAGATTCCCGAAGCAGGAATATTGAAGCCATACGACCGGTACAGCATTTCTAATTGACGGAGCTCAGAACGACTGGGAGCTCCTGCATTGAAGCTTATTTTTCTGGAATACAAGCGGGCGACATTGACACGTGCCCAGTTACGTCGCAACAGGATATCTATGTCCCGCGCATGTAATTTTGAATCTTTCAGACTTGGTGTACTTTACGCGGCTACTCAAAGTAACTGCTACTTGGACGCAACTAAGCGCAAATCTCTCTTCCAGTTTCCACGGCCTACAAGCAAGCAAGCACCAGTTCGTTTTTCCTCAAAGGTGAGCATTCCAGATACTCTAGTTAGGTGCGAAGCAGGAATAGTGAAGCCAGACGAGCGGATACGTATATTTAATTGACCGAGCTCAGAATGACCTGTGGCAGTGGCATTGAAGCTTATTTTTCCACAATCAAACGCAGACATAATTTTGAATCTATCCGGCTTGGTGAAGGATTGCTACTTGTCGCAAACTAATCACAAATTTGTATTTTGCAGTTTCTATATGGCTACAGCTAGCAGGTGCTGTTTTCATTAAGGTGAGGATTTCACATTCTGTTTTCAAACATCAAGTTTTTGAATGAGAGTCCTAAACAATTAACTTTCTTTTGCAGTAAATGCCTGATCCTCCAGTTCAGGAATATGTTAAATATATTTGGTATGGATAAGTCCAGTGTTTTGCTTCTTTATTCACAATTTGACAACAGCAACATTTTTTTTAATTTATCACTCAGAAATACACACAAGAAGAGACTGCGGTGCAGAGAAATGTTGCGCTAAACGTGATATTCCAACTCGTATATAGTTTTATTGGTAGCCGATATAATATATTGGATTCGAATGTCCATAATACGCTGAGTATATTGGAATCGTAAACCCCTATTGGATCCCCATACGACATATGGGGATCCAATAAGGGTTTATACGGTATTGGATTCCAATATTTTCAGCGTATTATGGATATTGGAATCCCAAAACAAATCCTTATTGTAATAAAATACAATAAATGTAATGTTTTCCAATACACTGTCTATATTGTATTGCAATACAATAAAAAGATATTGTTTACCAATATCCATAATACGCTGTTTATATTGGGGTTTTCCAATAGGGTAGCGACAGCTTTCCGATTGTTGACCTTTTTTTTTCTCCTGAATGGCTCTACCAGCAGCACCTTGATGCCTTTGGACTAGCGGAGGAGACTTTTCGGAGGCAGTACCGTCTCACCAAGAATGTGTCCGTTTGTTGTGCGACGAACTACGCGAGGAGCCAGAGTTGAGGAGGCTGCGAGGTTTGTGGTCGGTGATGACTGTGGAACAGCAAGTGTTGAGCGCACTTCGCTTTTACGCCACGGGGAGATTTCAGGGCATGGTGGCGAGCGACGATCACATAGCGAGGGATCAGGCTATAGTCAGCATCGCTGTGCGGGCTGTGTCTCTCGCTATTGTGCTGTGTCTGGGGATCCGGCGCGGCTGGATCGACTTCCTCCAGACAACCGGTGAGAGGGACGACGTCGAGAGGGGCTTCCAACGGCTCGGCAGGATACCCGGCGTCATCGGTTGCGTCGACGGGACGATGATCGCCATCGTCGGCCCGTCACAGAACGACCCCACCGTCACGAAGGCGGCGTATTGGTGCCGCAAACAATACTACGCTCTCAACGTGATGGTGGTAAGTACGATCACATATATACTACGTCTCATCTTAGCATGAACTAACTAAGAAGACTGTGCAAGCGCGAACGGCTTGACTGGAGCACTCGCTGCACGAGCGCTCGTGCAGCCGCCGGGGCTTTATCCAAAGCAGCCAGCTCGCGCTTTTAGTGCCCGTTCTGAATCGGTATTAAAGAACATACCGCTAATACGGTGTGAATATGGCATTTTATAAATGAGAGTTATGGGTTGTTAGTACTGGTTCATCCTCCGTTCAAGCGTATGTTCGACGAAGGGAGGGATGGTTTGTGAGCTGAAAAGGTTTCGATTTGTTTGTTTTCATGTCGTGTTAAGCTTTTAAGCACCAGTTCCTGTCCTGCATGATAAAGTGTGAACTCTCCTATGAAGAAAAAAACAAATTTTCCTAAACTATTACATGGATCAAAGGTAGTGGCTTTTTATCATATACTTCTAAACTTTGTAACGCAGACAGGGCTCTGTCTGTGTCCTCCTTCATTCAGTCCGTCGTTTTTGTTTCCTTTTGCGCTGTTTTAATATTGTAAGTTTGTCAACCACATAATTTATAGTGGTGTGTTGGTCAGCATGTAAATAGTGTTTGACAAGGCCCCATGACAATGAGTGCAATCAACTGTTTGTGGATGCAGTTGAATTAATGTCGACATATGTCTCACCATTGCAGGTGTGGAACGCCGACTGCCGGGTCATGAGCATCGACCCACGGTATCCTGAGTCGGTGCACGACTCCTTCGCGTGGCGCTACTCGTGGCTCCGGAGCAACTTCGAGCAAGGCCGGCTGATAGACGATGGCAGGCTCCTGCTCGGTAAGCATACTCCATTTGTTGGTTCTGTACATGATGGCTCTGCACCATTTATAAGCAACAATATCACACATACTGTTCCGAACATAGATAACTGGCATGCGCTCTGGCCATACCTGTTACACGTCTCCTTGGAAACACTCTGACGCAGCTGTAACTACAGGGCGGAAAGGTTGCAAAGAGCAGCTTTACCTGCTTAGTTGTCTACAACTTTAAAGGGATTCTACAACAACATTTCGGTGCTTATTTCTTGGTCTATACGTGTTCAAAAGAGCAGTATCACATCGGACACATGAATATCTTGGTAAAAAAGACAGAAAGGGCATTTAAAAAAATTAGGGATGTCGCTAAAGCCGTTTGTAATGCCCATCTAGGAACTTTGACAGGTAGTGACGATAACTGTTTTGCCTAGAACTATACATGCTTTGAACCTGTTGTCATCCCGACAGCTGTACGGCCAGCAGAAGAAAAAAGGGGAGGGAGGAACTCCACACTCAACGGGACTCTCTTTTTTGTGTCCCAAGATTATAGAAGATTAACCCGTCACCTAAAATTCACACAAAAGCAGCTTTGGGGTTAGTTGTGGTGGCCCGATCGCTGGCGTGCTTCGACCGCTTTGGTTCCTGGAACAGCTAGGGCATCCTGAGGATGTCTGCCTCGCCGCAGCTTTGCTCATCCCGAGATAAACTATGTCACAATTGCACCGGATGTGATGTGCTCTCTGCTGGCTGCTGTCCGAGTGCTAGCCAGTCTGGGCTGTTTATAATGAAAAATACAGCCATCAGGCTCAAAATACAAATGTGCGATTGTCATTTACGGGTATTGTGGATCATATTCAGCCTATCTCTGTACACAACGGGTATACTTCAAATTTCGTTGAAGTATTTTAAAGAGAACAGCGTTAATGTCATACATTTCCTTCTCTGACTGTGCTAGGGGACAACGGCTATGCCGTGGAGCCTTGGCTCATCACCCCTGTCCCTGGATTCCACGCGACCTCCACCGCTTGCGGCCGGTTTAATAAGGCACATTCTTCGATGAGGTTCGTTGTGGAGCGCTGCATTGGGCTGTTGAAAAGCAGACTCCGGTGGCTGCAAAGGCACCTTACTCTGTATTATCATCCAACAATAGCCATAGTCATTATATCGGCGTGTGCAGTGCTCCACAATATCTGCCTTTCATCGAGGGAGCCAGAACCGGAGCCAGACTCTGAACCTGACGAGCCAGGGTTGGAGTCTGGGCCGAGCTCGGACGGTTCTCAGTCAAGCTCGGAGGGTTCAGCGACGGATGACGAGGGGCTGGCTCCTGCTTACCCTCGGGTCAGCCTCTCGGACAGGGGCAGGGTTCTGAGGCAGCGCCTTGTTGCCCAGTTCCGAACCCGCCGTTGCCGTGCCTCCCTGGAGCCCCACGCAAGCCACAATGGTAGTCCCGCCCACCAGGGACACCACCAGCGCCAAGGAGTCTGTCGCCACAACGGAGGTCCCACTTATCAGGGACACCGTCGGCGACAGGGAGCCCCTCATCGTCCTCGCCACGGTGGCACTCCCGCACACCAGGGACGCCACCGGCGACAGCGAAGCCCCCGTCGTCCTCACCTCGACTGACGCCCTCGCCACCAAAGAAGCCCCCCCCCGTGGCAGTATGTACTTCACTTGTGGCTCCACAGTCATGGCCGTCCATAAGCTCCACAGTGTCAACTCCAACGCCTTGCGCTGTTCGTCGCACAACCACCGAGCTACCTTTACGGACATGTAGTACTGCCTCTGAAAAGCTATTCGGCGCAACACAGTGATGTTGATAAATGTTTTTTTTTTTAATTTGCAAGCAGGGTGCATAAAACCCGTGGGAAAATAACAGGTTTTGTAGGGTCATGAAGCTAGCCATCGGGGCATCTGGCTCGCCCTTGCAGGAAACTGAGAACTCAATGAGGCTACTGTTGAGACCCATTTTCCTTTTTTTACTGCAATATATTGTTTGTATCGGGTTTGGACATCGATTCATTTTCTCTACACTTCCATTGCCCTGCTCCATTCTACAATCTATTATGGCTACCATAGACCCAGCTGTATTACTTGATAATCGCATATTGCATTTGTGTCAGTTTGAATGTATAAAGAAGTCAACAAGCAGTTTGTCTTTGAAAGTGCTATCTTTTTTTTATGACGATGCCGTAATGTGAAAAATAAACATGTTCGAAAACACAGGTTGCATTGCTTTCTTTAAAGTGAAATTGAGCATGAACTAGTAAACACCGTATAAATTCTTTGTAATTATCAAGAATATATCATAGACATTATTTCATACTTCACTTAATTCAGCACACTGCCATTTCGTTTGTGTTTTGTCACTCATGGAAGTATGACAGATTCCATAGTAGAGGAACGTTGAGATCGACAATGATACAAAAAAACAAAAAAAAACACGGCGACACAGACGAAGGGAAACAACTGAAGTTTATTGGAAATTCAACTTCAGTTGAAAGTGCGCCTTGTCCTGTTTCCTTCGTCTGCGTCCCTGTGTTTTTTTCGGCGCTTTTTTTTTTTTTGTTTGCAATGCACCGACTGGCCTTAATCTCCACTTCCTTGCGATATAAGAAAAATGGCAAACCCGGAGGCCAGTTTTATGCGGGTGGCAAGTTGTGGCTAAACTGCAGGCCTCTTGGTTTCAATTAAAAAAACTACAAGTATAAAATTCTGATGGCACAAGCCACTTGACACCTTTCGTGAAAAAGCACACACTACATATTGCTGTCCTACAAACACGAGGAATGGCTAGTTTTACATATATCTGTCATACCTGTTGCCAAGAGCATATTACCAACTTGCTTCACTGGTTGTAGTGACTCCAATAAACAAACGCAGAAGGCACAGTCCTTTTTAAACAGAAATATGCACTGAAAGGCATGGACAGACTTTCCCGTAATGTCGACATTGTTGTAAAGATGTTTAGACAGCAGGACATCAGCCTTCCTTTAAGCGATGGCTCACTATTAGTATTATTCACTGTATGGCGAGCCCAGTGTGTGTGGGAACTTGTCCATTAACATGCACCACGTACCAGTGGCACAAAAGAACACATTTCTTGTCTCCACCACGAGAACAAAACAAAAACCAAAAAAATAAATACCGACTTGGCTCATAGAATAATTGTCCATTAAACTAAATTATTTGTGGCTGAACTCGGCGGGACTCGGCTCGGCGGTGTGGCTGGGCTCGGCGGGGCTGGGCTGGACGAGGGGTGTCTGGGCAGGGCCAGGCAGGTCTTGGCTGCACTGGGCTCGGCTGCTCTCGGCAGTCAGCAGCAGAACGATTTCGACGAGCATGCGGGTCGTGTTCTGGAGTCCCAGGGCCACCGCCTGTGTGGCACGGGCTTGCCCCTGGATGGCCTCCGAGACACCCTTCATTTGTTGGCTGAGGGCCCCAGTGGAAGGCAGGAGTTGGAAAGACGGGACATTTAATGCGCAGCAACAAGATGTTTCTAGACACCCAGAGGGCGTGAAAGCCTTGTATATGTCACAGTTTGGTTTGCATTATGCTTTTGTGGATCTCTATTGCCCTCTGTTGCAGTCCTACTTTCACGGTGGGACTCGTCTCTTGTTTACTTTCTGTTTCGTGCAGATTTAAAACTTTTAATGGCCCGTAAGCGCTGTGTTCGTGTGCGCTTTCTTCAAGTCTTTCTTTTTTTTTCGCGCTGTTTTCTTAAACTATAGTAAACCAACTAGCTCAGTTCCAGCCCTTGTATAAATTGAAGTCATATGTCACGCTTTCCGATTTCAATATTTGAAGAACGCACTTGGCAACACTGCTTGGAACTTGGCCGGACAAGGGAAGCTAGGGAATCCAAGTCGTGGTTTGCGTGTGAGTGGTTTTTGGAAAGCCGGAGACTTTAGAGACGCGGTAGAGAACGCAGAGTATTTGCAACGGGGATTTTTAGACGGGGTTTCAGTATTGGGTTATTTCATTCACGACCCGAAATGCCAGTATTTTTTTAGAGTTCACAAATCATAATTTTGTGAAACAAACCTAAGAAGTTGGGAAATGTAGAGTGAAGTCGGGAGTTATGATCTCCTCGGAAAGTACCAGAAAAATACTTGAAGTACAAATACACACTCATAGGATGTACTTGAAGCGAAGTACAAGTTTTCTAAACCTTCTTAATTTAGGGCTTTAAACGGAAACTGATGCAGTTCTTTCATAAAATATGATAGAGGTTGATGCTAGTGTAGTAATTTTGTCCAGTGAATCTGAACATGATGTTTGTTTTCCCCGAAGATGTAACTAAACGTGAGTAACCACGAAAAACCTCCAACCAGTACCGACCTCAAAGGAGGATATTTCGGCCGCCAAGCGCGTGTCGTTTGTGGGCCGCGCGTCCAATCGCAAGCTTGCCAGGTACATTCGCCCGCACTGGCACCAGTCGTGAAGTCTTTTTCTGTCCTTCTTAAAGATAGCGTGTGCGTGCATAGCTTTGATAGGCGCTGAAGATGGGTGAGAGCGGAGATTTCGAAAACTCGTTTTGTGACGTCAAGTTTCGGAAAGGAGGCCCTCCTTTCCGAAGTGTCACATTAAAAATGATTCTATGCAGACTTGATTCACCAAATTAAGAAATAATTTTGATATTTGATATCCTGGAGGTCAAATGAAGACGATCTAACTGTGTTTCCATAAATACCAAGCCGCTTCGGCTTCCCTTTAAGTACAATGTACTTGAAGTACTTCTCAACACTCTCGGTAATGAAATATGGTCAGTCGTTATTATATTTCTTAATTAATCTTGCTTTTTTAAATAATATATTTTACACCCACAAGTGTAAAATGAGATTTACAAGAATGCCATGGCAGTGAAGGGTCTGGAAAAATGTACTATTAAAAGCTTGAAATAGATCAGTAATATTAAATTTGGGAAGGAACACACGATCAAGAGGGACATTTTTTTTATTCAGGCCGCACAACCTCTCCAGTTGCCATGTTGACACACCAACCGCTTACACACACCTGTTGAAAAAGAAAACAATATTGTTCACCGTATTAGCAGAAGTAGTCAACAACAGGAAACAAAAGATCACAGGAAGGATTACAATATCATAGCTAACATTTTACTCAGAATAAGAAACAAAAGCTTTTCTCCAGCTAAAACCTAGGAAAATAAAAACTTTTGTGTAAAATAGAATAGTGTGTTGCGTGGGATTCCTGTCGGTGAGTGGGGTTGTTCTCCCGTCTTGTAATGAATGTTTAATTTATAACACTTGCATTTACCGCACGCAGTTTTTCGGACGCCTGTTGGCTTTGTGAGTTGTAGGCTCGCACTGTGGTCAGTTACAATGTCAACTGCGCCGTTGTCTTTATGCTGGGTGTTCCACGTCAAATCCTACAATAACAGACCGTGTCATATTTATTTTTACTCCCCTATACAGACATCCTTTGGAGGAGAATTCAGTCATTTATCAACGCCGTAGCTGATTTTTGTTTTCTGGAATACGAAATTTCGAAGCTGAAGGTGTGGATATTGCCAAGGGTTCACTATGGTACTTTGCACAGCCGTCAATTTCACACCGAAGCATGTACGTACTAATAATGTTTTCCACTTATTTAATGAAAGGTTTACAACATTACACAAAATATATAAAAAAACAATGGAACATTTCAACGAAAAAAAGCTAAAAAGCACGCCAGGCAAGCATTTTTTAGAGACATATTCACAAATTATTTACCAACAAACTACTTGCATGAAAGGGCTCAATATGTATCAGTATGACACCCTTTGAATGCATTTTAGAAATACATACATATATATATATATATATATATATATACGCAAAAGTGATGTGCGCAGACACAGCAGCCGTAGGATGAAAAGAATAAAATTCTAATTTAATGGCGAAAAAAGTCACGCAAGAAAAAAGGGTGAAGTGCCGAAAAAAAGTTGTATTAGTTTACGGGAATAATGAAGACTAGGCACAAGAGCGCTAATTACGCGGGAAAGAAACTTTTAAACAGGACGGAGTAAAAGTCAAAGTTAACACACAAGAACTTACAAAAAATAAATTGTTAAATGAAAAATAAAATAAAGAATTGAAAATAAAAAAATGTATAAAAAATAAGAAAAGGGCCTGACGTCCGTCGACGTTTCGGCAGTGGCACTGCCTTCTTCAGGACGGGAGCCCACATGGCGTGGTAGGTTAGTTTTATAAAATATCTAGGGAGAGGGTTAGTTAACGCGAAAGTTCGAAGGGGTTTGTAGGGTAAGGGAAGCACGGGGGGGACGAGTCCAATTTTGTCGCGATGAGAAAGGCGGTTCTGGGTTGTTGTTTTTTTTTTTTTTTTTTTTCACAGGTGCGCTGGTGGTATGGAGGAGCTCGTAGGGAAGGGGAACACAGAGGGCAAAGTCCAATCTTGACGCGATGAGGCATGACAATTGTAGGTTCTGTTTGCCGGTGCATTGGTAGCAGAAGGAGCTTGCCGGGAGAGGAAGCGCCAGGGGGTATGAGTCCACTTTTGTCGCGGTGAGGGATTAAGGTTGTGGATTTTGTTCGGAAGCTGCCTTCCCGGGTAATTACGGTGCAGTGAGTGAGTCGTAGCGTCCTTGAGTGACCAAGTCGTCTGGG